AATATAAATTGGCCCGAGAGAGAGGGGATGTTAGGGAAGATACCACCGTCAGGGGAGATACCATCCCGAGGACATACAACATCCTTAGGACCTCCTGATTCCTGGGATCAGTCGACGGGCTGAGCCTCTCTTCCCCCCCCATTGGGACGCCTTTGGGTGAGATCTGAATATTTGCTTATAAATCCCTATAGAATCTTTGATCCTTTCAACGCGTTTATTTCTAGGCTGCGCACCTGTGACACCTGTAAACACCTGTAACATCTATAACACCTGTAACATCTGTAACACCTATAACACCTATAAAACACCTACAACACCTATAACACTTGTAACATCTATAACATCTAACACATCTGTAACATCTTTAACACCTAGAACACCTGTAACACCTAGAACACCTGTGTATTTCATGCATACTAGCTTGCTTTTGCAGACAGTCACTATCGCCGGCAATCCAAAAGAACCTGATTATCTGTTGCTCTAATAAACCATACTTGATTGCATTGTGATAGCTCTCATTAATGCAACTAGGGTGAGGGTGGTTATCCGTGATAGTTCAGTGTTCTGAATCTAACCAGACCCCCAGACGGTTAATGCATTTTTGGTGAATGTCTGAGCGGACCCCCAGGTGGTTAATACGTTTTTGGTTAATGTCTGAGTGGACCCCCAGGCGGTTATTACGTTTTTGGTGAATGTCCGAACGGACCCCCAGACCGTTAATGCGTTTTTGGTGAACGTCCGACTGATTCAGTACTCTGAACCCAACCGGGCCCGTAACGGTTAATCAGCTACACCCCTTTAACGCAACAGAGACTCACTTCCGAAACAACTTTATAGACACTTGGGCCAAAGAGCATGGTATTGAATGGGTGTATCACATCCCCTATCATGCACCAGCCTCCGGGAAAGTTGAACGATACAATGGCCTGTTAAAGACTACCTTGAAAGCAATGGGCGCTGGGACGTTCAAAAACTGGGATACGCATTTGGCAAAGGCCACCTGGTTAGTCAATACTAGGGGATCTGCCAACCAAGCTGGACCTGCCCAATCCAACCTGTTACGTACTGTAGATGGGGATAAAGTTCCTGTAGGGCATGTAAGAAATACGCTGGGTAAAACAGTCTGAGCTACTCCTGCCTCAGGAAAAGGCAAACCTCTTCGTGGAATTGTTTTCGCTCAGGGACCTGGATACACTTGGTGGGTGATGCAAAAGAACGGAGAGGTCCGGGGTGTACCTCAAGGAGATTTAATACTGGGTGAGAATAGCCCATGAACTGAATTGTACCACGTGAATTATTATATAATACTGTATGTTATCACTACCATGACTACTACAGGTGACTAATTAGAATGTATGGAAAAGAGTGTAACCTGAGCATGACAGAAATGGTATGGAATAAGGGGTGGAGAGGTGTCCTGGTTTCAGTTAGAACAGAATTAATTTTCTTCCTAGGAGCTGGTGGAATGCTGTGTTTTGGCTTGGGATGAGCAGAGTGCTGAGAACACCCCGATGCTTTAATTGTTGCAGAGCAGTGCTTACACCAAGCCAAGGACATCTCAGCCTTTTGCTCTGTCCTGCCAACGGGCAGGCTGGGGGTGCAGTAAGAGCTGGGAGGGGACAGAGCCAGGACAGGGGACCCAAATTAGCCAAAGGCGTATTCCATCCCATCTGGGGTCATGCTAAACAATAGATAGGGGTGGCTAGCCGGGGGGAGGGGGCCGGACTGCTCGGGGTGAGGCTGGGCATCGGTCAGCGAGTGGTGAGCAATTGCATTGTGCATCACTTGTTTGTACATATGATTATTACTTTCCTATTATCACCATTGTATTATTCTTATTGTTATTGTTATTTTTGTTATTATTATTTTCCTGTCTTATTAAACTGTCTTTATCTCAACTCACGGGCTTCACTTTGCATTTCTCTCCCCCGTCCCAGAGAGGGAGGGGGGAGGCTGAGCGAACGGCTGCGTGGTGTTTAGCTGCCGGCCAGGTTAAACCACGACAGGGTGGGGACATCAGGGTGGGGACACGGGGACAAGGACATCAGGACAAGGGCATCGGGATGACATCAGGATGGGGACACTGGGATGGGGACATGGGAACACTGGGATGGGGACATCGGGATGACATTGGGTTGGGGACACTGGGACAAGGACATAGGGACAAGGACATTGGGATGGGGACATCAGGGTGGGGACATTGGGACAAGGACGCTGGGATCACATGGGGATGGGGACACTGGGATGGGGACATCGGGACGAGGACATCAGGGTGGGGACATTGTGGGGGGGGACAAGGATGGGGGGAACACCGGGACAAGGATGGGGGGGAACAAGGACAAAGAGGGGGGGACACGGGGATGGGGTGGGGACATTGGCGGGGGACCCACTGTGACCAGACCCCCCCTGTCCCCCTCCCCCCCAAAACTAAACTTTTTTGAGGCCGCGTTGCCAATCCCGCTCTTTATTGAACCAAACGGGGTGCGGGGGTGGGGGGTGGGGGGCGGGACCCCCAACATTTTGGGCTCAGAACAGCAAAAAACAGGCAAAACCAGAAACGACGCCTTCCGGCTGCGGCTCCACGCTCAGTCCTGGGGGAAAGAACCCCCCCCCAAAAAATGGCGGGGGGAGCAATTTGGGGGGGTCCCCCAATTTTTGGGGAGGGTCCCCCAATTTTTAGGGGCGTCCCCAGACTTTTGGGAGGGGGTCCCAAAGTTTTTTGGGGGGGTCCCCAAATTTGGGGGGGGCTGTAAAAGGGGGGAGGGTGAAGACAGGGGCAGGATTTGGGGGGGGGTTGGTTTTTTTTTGGGGGGGCAGATTTTTTGGGGGGTCCTCAAATTTTGTGGGGGGGTCCAAATTTTTTTGGGGGGGGTCCTCAAATTTGAGGGGGGGGAGCTGGGGGAGGGGGGAGGGTGAAAATGGGGGCAGGATTTAGGGGGAGATGGAAATTTGGGAGTGCATTTTGGGGTGGGGGGGGCAATTTGGGGGGGGCACTTTGGGAGGGGTGAGAGTGAAAATGGGGGGGGCAAATTTGGGGGGGCAAAATTGGGGGAAGGATTGGGGTAAAATTGGAGGGGGAGGGTGGAAATGGAGGCAATTTTAAGGTGGGGGCGCTCAAATTTGGGGAGGGGTGAGTAGGGGGGGTAAACAAAAAAAAAAAGGGGTGGGCGTTGGGGGGAAATTTTGGGGGCGGGCAACATTTGGGCCCCCCCCCCCTCACCTCGATTCCCAGGATGGTGGAGTCAAAGAGGTCCGGGACCTGGGGGGGGGGGGGGCAAAAATTAGGGGGGTTTTTAGGGGGGGGGGAGCACCCAGAACCCCCCCTTGGTGTTGGGGGGGCGTAGGGGGGGGGCTCACCTGGTCCAGCTGCGGGGGGGTCTCCTCGCTGCTGCCCCCCCCCCTCTCCTCCTCCTCCTCCTCCATCACGCTCAGGCTGGGGACAACGCTGGGAGCCCCCCCAGTATGCCCAGTGCCCCCCCAGTATGCCCAGTGCCCCCCCGCAGTCCCTCCCAGAATGCTCATTGCCCCCCCAGTATGCCCAGTGCCCCCCAGTATGCCCAGTGCCCCCACCAGTCCCCCGCAGTATACCCAGTGCCCCCCCCAGTCTCACCCTAGTGCTTCCCAGTCCCCCCCAGTCCCCCTCCAGTGCCCCCCAGTATGCCCAGTGCCCCCCCTATCCCATCCCAGTGCCCTCCCAGTACCTCCCAGTTCCCCCCATTGCCCCCCCCAGCCCATTTTGAGGGTGCCCCCCCCCCCCAAACTCACCTGCTGGGGCCGGGAACGCGGAGGTCCCAGGGGGGGCCGGGGGGGACCCGCAGCACCGTGGAGGTGAGCGCCGGGCTGAGGGGGGGGCTGGGGCCCTGCCAAGTCTCTGGGGGGGGAGAGACCTGTGAGACCCCCCCACACACGGGGTTTGTCCCCAAGGACCCCCCACAATTTGTCACCTCCCTCCCTTGGGGGGGGGGGGCAGGGACAAGGGGGGGGACAGGGACAAGGGGGGGTGACAGGGACAAGGGAGGGGGGGAGATTGGGGGGGGGCACATTGCGGGGGTGTCCCGGGGGGGCGCTGCCCCCCCCCTCACCTTCTGTGCACCTCCTCTTTTGGGGGGGCTCGGGGGGCTGCAGGGAGCGGTGGTAGGCGGCCAGGGGGGGCCACGGGGACCGCTCCGGGGGGGTCATCCCCAGCTGCTGGCAGCTCTGCTGCAGGTGGGTCACCCTGGGGGGGGGCAAAAATTAGGGGGACCCCAAATCCACCCCCCCAGGGCCCCCAAATTTTCCTCCAAGAACCCCAAATCCCCCCCTGCACCCAACCCCCCCCCCAGGAACCCCATATCCCCATACAAGGACCCCAAATCCCCCTCCAGGAACCCCAAATCCCCCCCAAATCCCCGTCAGGAACCCCAAATCCCCCCCTCCGGACCCCAAATCTCCGCAAAATCCCCCCCCGAGGACCCCAAATCCCACCCCTGGGACCCTAAATCCCTCTCCCCAGGAACCCCAAATCCCCCCCAAGCCCCCCCCCCAGGACCCCAAATCCTCCCCCAACTTCCCCCAAGGACCCCAAGCCCCCCCCTCAAGGACCCCAAATCCGCCCCAGGAACCCCAAATTCCCCCCCAGGTCCCCAAATCCCTCTTCAGGACCTTAATTTCCCCCCAAATCCCCCCCAAGAACGCCAAAACCCCCCCTCCGGACCCCAAATCCCCCCCCGGATCCCAAATCTCCCCAAAATCCCCCCCAAGGACCCCAAATACCACCCCTGGGACCCCAAATCCCTCTCCCCAGGAACCCCAAATCCCCCCAAGCCACCCCCCAGGACTCCAAATCCCCCCCCAACGTCCCCCAAGGACCCCAAGCCCCCCCCTCAAGGACCCCAACCCCCCCCAGGAACCCCAAATCTCCCCCAGGACCCCAAATCCCCCCAAGGAACCCCAAATCCCCCTCCCAGGAACCCCAAATGCCCCCCAGGACCCCAAATCCCCCCCAGGACCCCCCTACTCACAGCAGGGCTCGGTCGGGGGGCAGCAGGCGGGGGGAGAACTCGCTGAGCACCTCCAGGAAGGGCAGGTACAGGGGGGCCCCCCCCGGATCCCCCCCCGGACCCCCCCCCGGACCCTCTTGTAGGGCAAAGGCGATGCCGTCCCTGGGGGGGGGGCACAGAGCAGGGGGGGGTCAGGCCCGGGACCCCCAAATCCCCCCAGGGCCCCCCAAACCCCCCCAGACTCCCCCAAATCCCTTCAGACCCCCCCTAATTCCTCAGGCCCCCCAAACACCCCCAACCCCCTCCCCACACCCCCAGACCCCCCCCAAAAAAAAACAAGCCCCCCCCCCAAATGCCCCTGGGCCCCCCCAAACACCACAGCCTCCTCCCATCACCCCAAATCCCCTCCTATCCCCCCCAAACCCCCTCCCCACACCCCCAGACCCCCCCAAAAAAAAACCAACCCCCCTCAAATACCCCTGAGCCCCCCAAATGCTCCTGACCCCCCTAACCCCCCCATCACCCCAAAACCCCCTTCCCACACCCCAAAACCCCACCCATCACCCCAAACCCCCTCCTATCCCCCCAAAACCCCCTCCCCATACCCCCAGGACCCCCCCCAAAAAAACAAGCCCCCCCCAAATACCCCGGAGCCCCCGCCCAAATGCCCCTGGGCCCCCCCAAAAACCCCACAGCCCCCTCCCAGCACCCCAAATCCCCTCCTATCCCCCCCAAACCCCTTCTTATCCCCCCAAAACCCCCTCCCCACACCCCCAGGACCCCCCCCAAATATCCGTGCCCCTCCCCCCCGGTGCCCCCCCCACGTTACCGGTGCAGGCGCAGCAGCACTTGGCGGTTGGGTTGGGGGCGGGGGCCGAAGAAGAGGGAGAGGCGGCGCCCCAAATCCCGCAGCCCCCCAAAAGCGGGGACCCCCCACACCCCGGGGCCGTGCTCCATCAGCAGCTCCGTCATCACCTGGGGGGGGGCACGGTCAGAAAGACCCCCAAATCCCCCCCCTCCAGAGCCCCTCGATAACCCTAAATCCACCTGGAGCCCCCCAGGGACCCCAAAAGCCCCCCCTGGAGCACCCCAATGACCCCAAATCCATCTGATCCCCCCCCCAAACCTCTGAGAAACCCCCAGGGGACCCCAAAAGCCCCCCCGGAGCCCCCCCCCCAATGACCCCAAATCCATCTGACCCCCCCCCGGACGTCCTCAAGCCCCCCAGGGACCCCAAAAGCCCCCCCAGAGTACCCTGATAACCTCAAATCCATTTGAAGCCCACCCCAGAGAACCCCAGAGACCCCAAAAGCCCCCCCTAGCCCCCCCCCAATGACCCCAAATACACCTGAAGCCCCCCCGAGCACCCCAGAGACCCCAAAAGCCCCCCCAGAGCCCCCCCAATAATCCCAGATCCACCTGGAGCCCCCCAGGGACCCCAAAAGCTCCCCCGGAGCACCCCAATGACCCCAAATCCATCTAACCCCCCCCAAAAACCTCTGAGAACCCCCCAGGGGAACCCAGAAGTCCCCCAGGAGCACCCTGATGACCCCAAATCCATCTGAAGCCCCCCCCCAGAGCACCCCAGGGACCCCAAAAGCCCCCTCTGGAGCCCCCCATGACCTCCTGGAGCCCCCTAAGAATCCCAAATCCCCCTCTGGAGCACCCAAGGAACCCCAAATTCCCCTGAAGCCCACCCAGGACATCCTGAAGCCCCCCAAGGAACCCTAAAGCCCCCTCTGGAGCCCCCCCACAACCCCAAATCCCCCTCTGGAGCCCCCCCACAACCCCAAATCCCCCTGAAGCCCCCCCGGGACCCCCCCCGGACCTGCTGCAGGCTGAGCAGCACGACGCGCGCCCACTCCTGGCCGTCCATGCGGAGGACGCACGCCAGCGTCTCCTTGATGATGTCCCCGTACTCGGCGTGAAACTGGGGGGAAACGGGGGGGTCCCCAAAGAGCCGAGGGGACAGCAGGGGGGGGGACAGTGTCCCCAGCCCTGTCCCCACCTTGTCATAGTACTTCAAGACGTCAGAGGCGGCGCTGGGCTCCAGGACGTTGTAGATGATGAGCTTGCAGAAGCCGGCCAGCAGCATGCGGCGGCAATGCAGGTCCTCCATGTGTGCCTCGGCGGCATCTACGGGGACAAGGGGACAGCTTGGGGACAGCTTGGGGACAGTTTGGGGACACGGAAAGGACACCAGGAGCAGCTGGGGGAGGTCCTCGATGGGGTTTGGGGGCACTAAGGGGATGTTGAGGGGATTTGGGGCACCGAAGGGATGCCAGGAGCAGCTGGGAGAAGTCCTCCAGGGGGCTTGGGGACATATTGGGGACATTAAGGGGACACAGGGGACATCTTGGGGACACTGAGGGGACGTTAAAGGGACACCAGGAGCAGCTGGGGGAGATCCTCCATGGGGTTTGGGGACACTAAGGGGATGCTGAGGGGATTTGGGGCACCAAAGGGATGCCAGAAGCAGCTAGAAGACTTCCAGAGGGTTTGGGGACATCTTGGGGACATCAAAGGGACACAGGAGACATCTTGGGGACACAGAAAGGATGCCAGGAGCAGCTGGGGGAGGTCCTCCGTGGGGTTTGGAGGCATTAAGGGGATGTTGAGGGGATTTGGGGCACTGAAGGGAAGCCAGAACCAGATGGGAGAAGTCCTCCAGGGAGATTGGGGACATCTTGGGGACATCAGAGGGACACAGAGGACATCTTGGGGACACTGAAAGGACACTAAAGGGACACCAGGAGCAGCCAGTGTAGCTCCTCCATAGGGTTTGGAGGCACTAAGGGGACGTTGAGGGGATTTGGGGCACCAAAGGGATGCCAGGAGCAGCTGGGGATGGTCCTTGAGGGGGCTTGGGAGGGCAAGGGGACACTGAGGGGACACCTGTGGCCATGAGGGCCACCTGGGGGCTACCAGGGCCACCTGTGGACCACCTTAGGGACATGAGGGGACATCTTGGGGTCACCAAGGACATGTCAGAAAAACCTTGAGGCCACCAGGGACTGCTCGGAGATGTCCTGGGGCCACTTTGGGGCCACTTGGGCCACCTGGGGACCACCAGGGCCACCTGGGGACCACCTTGGGGACACAAGAGGACACCCTGGGGACATGAGGGGACACCTTGGGGACACGAGGGGACATCTCCGAGCCACCAGAGCCACGCCAAAGGCATCTTGAGGCCACCAGGGCCTGCTCGGAGATGTCCTGGGGCCACCCTAGGTCCATCGGGGCCACCTGGACCGCTTTGGGGCCACCTCACGAGCACAGGGGCCACCTGGTGCTCACCGGGGCCACCTTGGGGACGGGTTGGGGACGCGTTGGGGACCTCACCGTCACCGTCCCTGTCCCCAGGGCTGAAGACGTGGTCGAGGAGCACGGCGGCCAGCTGGGAGCGCAGCTCCACGTCGGGCACCAGCCGCAGTGGGGCCAGCGCCGCCCCGGCCCCGCGTGTCCCCGAGGGGCCCAGCACCAGCAGGAGGTCACTCAGCACCACGAAGGCCTTGGGGACAACGGGGACAACGGGGACAAGGTCGGCACGGGGCCACCGAGGTGCCACCTCGCCCTCTGTCCCCTCGCTGTCACCTGCTCCCGGACGCCGGCGTCGCCGTTGGAGAGGCAGCTCTGGCACAGGGCGCAGAAGGAGGTGGTTTTGTCCTTCAGGCTCAGCAGCTGCTCCTGGGGACAGCCGGGTGGCATTTGGGGACAGCCGGCTGGCACCTGGGGATGTCCCCAAGCCGGGGCCACGTCCTCGCAAAGAGGGGGTTGTCCCCCTGTTGTCCCCTCCCCGCTGTCCCCCTGTTGTCTGTCCCTACCCTGGGGTGGTGGCGCTGCTGGGGGTCCTTTTCCCCATGTGTCCCCATGTGGTGTCCCCATCCCCGTCCCCGTGTCCTGTCCCCGTCCCCATATCCTGTCCCCATCCCCGTGTCCTGTCCCTGTCCCCAAGTCCTGTCCCTGTCCTATTCCTGTCCCCATGTCCCTATCCGTGTTCCCATATCCTGTCCCCATCCCTGTGTCCTGTCCCTGTCCCCACATCCTGTCCCCATGTCTCCATCTATGTCCCCACATCCTATTCCTGTCCTCATGTCCCTGTCCCCATGTCCTATCCCTGTCCCCATGTCCCATCCCCCTGTCCTGTCCCCATATCCTGTCCCTGTCCCCTGCCCCATGTCCCTCTGTCCCCATGTCCCCATCCCCGCCCAGTGTCCCCATATCCCCGTCCCCACACCCCTGCCCCCTTCCCAACGTCCCCAAACCTCCAAGTCCCTGTCCCCACAGCGTCCCCATGTCCCCATCCCCTTCCCCAGTTTCCCCAGTTGTCCCCAGTGTCCCCAGTTGTCCCCATGTCCCCAAGCTCACCTGGGGGGCGTCGGTGTTGGCCAGCCGCGACAGCTCCCAGAGGATGTGGAAGTGGGCGCAGGTGATGGCGGGGACAAGGAGCTGTGGGGACACACGGTGGCCTCGTGTCCCCTCCCTGGAGTTGTCCCCAATGTCCCCAGTGTCCCCAGTGTCCCCAGGTACCTGCGGGGGCACCTCGCCCGTGTCGGCCGCGCGCCGCAGGAGGAGGGTGCAGGGCTCGAAGAGCTGCCAGGGCGTCAGGTCGTGGGCCCTGCGGGGACAGGGACAGGGACAGGGGACATGGGGACAGGGGACAGGGGACAGGGGACAGGGGACATGGGGACAGGGGACATGGGGATATGGGGACAGGGAGGTGGGGACATGGGGACAGGGGACATGGATGTGGGGACATGGGGACACAGAGATGGGGACACTGGGAAGGGGATGGGGACATGGAAATGGGGACAGGGACATGGGGACAGGGACATCAGGGATGGACTAGGGACACGGGAATAGGGGGAAAGGGGACAGGGACATGGAGACAGCGCCCCAGGGGATGGGGGGGGACGCTTGGGGACGGGGGGGGGACACATTGGGGACGGGGGGGACACATTGGGGACACTTTGGGGACACGTTGGGGACACATTGGGGACACTTTGGGGACACGGGGCACACTTGAAGAGGACGGAGAGGCGCTTTAGGGTGGCAGTGGCGCTGTACAGCTCCTCCTCGTCCAGGGACGGCAACTGCGGGGGGGGGACAGGGGGTTGGGGACAGCTGGGGACACCCCGGGGGGCTGGGGACACCCCAAAACCCCCAGCCCAGCTCTAAGCCCCCCAACCCCCCCCAAATCCATGCCAAATCCCCTATAACCCCCCCAAATCCCCTCTAACCCCCTCTAACCCACCCCAAATCCCCTATAACACCCCTAAATCTCCCCAAATCCCCCCAAATCCCCCCCAGATCCCCCCCAATCCCCTCTATACCCGCAGCAGGCGGTGGCAGCGCTCCCCCAGCAGGTCCCCCAGGCGGCTCCTCACCAGCTCCCCGTGCCCCCGCAGCGGCAGCCGGGGGTCGCAGAGGGCCCCCAGGGCTCGGGAGGCCGCCCCCAGCACCTCCGGCCCCGTGTGCTTCTGCACCAGCTCCTGCAGCTGCGCCAGCGCCTGCTCCAGGGGCTGCGAGGTATGGGGTGGGGGTCACGGCCACCCCAAAGGGCCAGGGGACACGGGGACCCTCTGGGGAATGGGGACCCCAAAGGGTAAGGGGACACTGCCACCCCAAAGGGCCAGGGGACACGGTGACCCTATAAGGACTGGGGACATGGTGACCCTATATGGATTGGAGACATGGGGACCCCAAAGGGTGAGGGGACACGGGGACCCTATGGGGAATGGGGATCCCAAAGGGCAAGAGGACGTGGCGACCCTATAAGGATTGGGGAAATGGTGACCCTATAAATATTGCGGACACGGTGATCCCAAAGGGTGAGGGGACATGGTGACCCTATAGAACTGGGTGACCCTATAGGGTTGGGACCAGATGACCCTATAGGACTGGGTGACCCTACAGGATCGGGGCCAGGTTACCCTATAAGGACTGGGTGACCCTATAGGACCAGCTGACCCTATAGGGTTGGGACCGGGTGACCCTATAGGGACCAGATGAACCTATAGGACCGGCTGACCCTATAGGGTTGGGACCAGGTGACCCTATAAGGACCAGGGGACCCTAAAGGACCAGCCGACCCTATAGGGTTGGGACCGGGTGACCCTACAGGACTGGATGACCCTACAGGATTGGGGCCAGGTGACACTATAAGGACCAGGGGACCCTAAAGGACCAGCTGACCCTACAGGATTGGGGTCAGGTGACCCTATAAGGACCAGGTGACCCTAAAGGACTAGGTGAGCCTACAGGATTGGGGTCAGGTGACCCTATAAGGACCGGGTGACCCTAAAGGACCAGCCGACCCTATAGGATTGGGGTCAGGTGACCCTATAGGGCCGGCTGACCCTATAGGGCCTGCGCTCACCCTCTCCAGCCGCGCGGTGCAGTAGACGCTGAGCTCGAAGCAGCTCAGCACCTCCAGCAGCGGCGTCACCTTCTCCTCGTCCGCCGAAAACTTTTTTTTTGGGGGGGTCACAGGGAGTGAGGGGGGGTCACCCGGGTGTCCCCCCACCCCAAAAATGTCCCCGAGGCCCCCCCGGGGTCCCCTCACCTTGGCCAGCAGCCGGGGCAGGATGGGGGCCAGGCAGAGGCTGAGCCGCGAGCGCTGCTCCGTCACCGCCCGCCTCCCCTTGGGGGGCGCCTGGGGGGGGGCACAGGTGACAATGACGACAATGACCCCCCCCCGGACAATGACACCCCCCCGGGGACAATGACACCCCCTGGGGGTCAATGATACCCCCCCGGGGGTCACTGACACCCCATCAGGTGGCACTGACCCCCCCCAGGTGACAGCGACCCCCCAAAGGGGACACTGAGACCCCCCCTTGGGGATAATGACCCCCCCCCAGTGACAGTGACACCCAGGTGACAGTCACCCCCAGGTGACACCGCCCCCCCCTACCTTGCGGGGGGGTCCCCGTCCCACTGGGGGCCCCTCCCCCGCCGCCCGCTTGGCGCTGGCCGCCAGGATCTCCACCAGGGTCTTCTCCTGCTGGTCGCTGAGCGCTGGGGGGGGAACTGGGATGGACTGGGAGGGACTGGGACGGGACTGGGAGGGGGGTGGGGGGGACTGGGGGGGACTGGGATGGACTGGGACGGGGGCTGGGACAACTGGGATGGACTGGGAGGGACTGGGAGGGGGCTGGGGGGAGAATGGGATGGACTGGGAAGGACTGGGAAGGACTGGGAGGGGGTTGAGGAGGTTCCCAGTGCCCCCCAGCTCCCCCCAGTATCATCCCAGTGTCCCCTGGCGCCATCCCAGTGCCTCCCAGTGACCCCTGGTGCCCACCCAGTTATCCCCAGTTCCTCCCAGTCCCATCCCAGTACTCCCCAGTACCCCCCAGTGCCTCCCAGTTCTTCCCAGTGCCCTCCCAGTGCCCCCTGGCATCATCTCAGTGCACCCCAGTCCCATCCCAGTCCCTCCCAGTGCCCCCTGGTGCCACCTTAGTGCCTCCCAGTCCTTCCCAGTGCCCCCTAGCGCCCTCCCAGTGCCTCCCAGTCCCCTCCCAGTGGCTCCCAGTTGCCCACCCTCCTCGGGGGCCTCCTCCAGCAGCAGCCCCACGGCCGTGTCCCAGTCCCGCAGCTGGGTCCCGGCGCAGTCCCAGAGGATGTCCACGAGGTACGCGGCGTGATGGTGGAGCTGGGGACAGGGACAGCGCTGGCACCCGGGGTCCCTTGGGTGTCCCCTGGGGTCACCCGGGGTCTCTTGGGTGTCACCAGAGATCCCTTGGGTGTCTTCTGGGTGTCACCCAGAGTCCCTTAGGTGTCCCCAGGGTGTCCCTGGGTGTCCCTGGGTGCCCCCAGACTGTCCCCAGGGTGTCCCCAGGGTGTCACCTCGCTCTCGATGAAGAAGGTCAGCAGCAGGCGGAAGAAGCTGCGGTTGTCCCCGCTGCCGGGGGACGGCTCGGTGTCACCCTCGTGCCGCGGGGACAGCAGGCTGGGGACAAGGACAGGGGGTGACATTGGGAAGGGGACAGCGGGGGGGGGACGACACAAAGGGACACAAGAAATGGGGACAGGGGGATTCTGTGGGGACAGGGACAGGGTTGGGGACACAAAGGGACATGGGATGGGGACAGGGGGGTCCCATGGGGATGGGGACAGGGTTGGGGACATAAAGGAACACAGGATGGGGACAAGGGGGTCCCATGGGTGTGGGGACAGAGTTGGGGACACAAAGGGTCCGGAGGGGACAAGGCAGGACCGGGTGCCACCATCCCCACGGGAACATCCCCAGGTGCCACCAAGCCTCGCACCCGGTGGCAGCACCGACTGGGGACGATACCCGGGGGGTGACACCGAGAGGGGACAGGGGACAGGGGAGGTGACACAGGAGGGGACAAGGGGGTGGCCCGGCCTCACCTGCGGTAGAGGAAGAGGCCGGCGGCGGTGGCGAGGGGACGGCGGCTGCAGAAGACGGCCGGGTAGACGCGGTGACAATCGGCCTCCGTCAGCGCCTCGGCCACCGTGCTGGGGTGACAACGGGGACACCGCTGTCCCCCGGCTGTGTCCCCTGTCCCCGAGCCGTGTCCCAACCCCCAGCCCCGTGTCCTGCCTGGCTTCGTCTCGCCCGTTTTGTGTCCCTCTTTGTGCTCTCAGACCCTAACCGGTGTCCCCAGTGTCCCCATCCCCCGTGTCCCCAACGTCCCCAATGCCCCCAATGTCCCCCTTGTCCCCAATGTCCCCCCCATGTCCCTCTTGTCCCCAATGTCCCCCCCATGTCCCTCTTGTCCCCCATGCCCCCCCGTCCCCAATGTACCCCTTTTCTCCCCATCCCCAATGTTCCCCTGTCCCAAATGTCCCCAATGACCCCAACATCCCCAATGTCCCCCTTGTCCCCCCCCATATCCCCAATATCCCCATGTCCCCAGTGTCCCATGTCCCCAACGTCCCCATGTCCCCCTTGTCCCCCATGTCCCCAATGTCCCCCTGTCCCCAATGTCCCCATTATCCCCAATGTCCCCCATGTCCCCAGTGTCCCCCCCTTGTCCCCAATGTCCCCCCCCATGTCCCCAACATCCCCAACATCCCCCTGCCCCCAATCCCCAATGCTCCCCATGTCCCCGATGTCCCCAAGGTCCCCCCCATGTCCCCAGTGTCCCCAACATCCCCCAGGCCCCCCCCCATGTCCCCAGTGTCCCCAACATCCCCCATGTCCCCAGTGTCCCCAAACTCACTCCAGCATCACCGTCAGCAGCTTCACCACCTCCACGGCCACCACGGGGTCCTTGTCCTGCACCATGGACACCAAGCGGGCCTGGGGGGGGGGGACACACCCGTTGTCACCCCCTGGGGACCTCGGCAGGGAGGTGACAGCGTTGGGGACACGGGGGGGGGACACGCTCACCTTGAAGCGCCCGGTGAAGAGCTCCATGTGCGCGGCCGTGTCCCGGCGGGCGTACAGCCCCTGCAGCGCCCGCACGCAGCGCAGACGCACCTCCCCCTGCTGCGGGTCCCCAAGTGTCCCCAAGTGTCCCCAAGGGTCCCCTCCCGGCCACAAAGGTCCCCAAGGGTCTCCTCTCCTAACCCCAAGTGTCCCCTCCCAGCCCCAAGGGTCCCCCATCCTGCTCCCAAAGGTCCCCAGCCATCTCCTCCTGGCCCCAAGTGTCCCTAAGTGTCCCCACGGATCCCCTCCCAATCCCAAAGGTCCCCAAATGTCCCCTCTCCCAGCCCCAAGTGTCCCCAAGTGTCCCCCACCCCGGACCCTGTGGTCCCCAGCCAGCTCCTCCTGGTCCCAAGTGTCCCCAAACGTCCCCAAAGGTCCCCTCCTGGCCCCAAAGGTCCCCAAGTGTCCCCTCCCAGCCCCAAGTGTCCCCTATCCTGGCCCCAAAGGTCCCCAGCCAGCTCCTCCGGGTCCCAAGTGTCCGCAAGCGTCCCCAAGTGTCCCCCATCCTGGCCCCAAAGGTCCCCAGGTGTCTCTTCTCCTGACCCCAAATGTCCCCAAGTGTCCCCTCCCGGCCCCAAAGGTCCCCAAGTGTCCCCTCCCAGCCCCAAGTGTCCCCCATCCTGCTCCCAAAGGTCCCCAGCCGTCCCCTCCTGGCCCCAAGGTCCCCAAGTGTCTCCTCTCCTGGCTCCAAGTGTCCCCATGGATCCCCAAGGGTCCCCTCCTGGCCTCAGGTGTCCCCAAGTGTCCCCTCTCCCAGCCCCAGTGGTCCCCAAGTGTCCCCCATCCTGGACCCTGTGGTCCCCAGCCAGCCCCTCCTGGCCCCAAAGGACCCCAAGTGTCTCTTCTCCTGGCCCCAAGTGTCCCCAAGTGTCCCCAAGGGTCCCCTCCCAGCCCCAAAGGTCCCCAAGTATCTCCTCTCCTGATGCCAAGTGTCCCCTCCTGCTCCCAAGCGTCCCCAAGTGTCCCATCCTGGCCCCAAAGGTCCCCAAGTGTTCCCTCTCCCAGTCCCAAAGATCCCCAAGTGTCCCTCCCAGGGAACCCCATGTCCCCAAGGTGTCCCCCAAGGCGTCCCTGTGTCCCCAAGGTGCCCCCATGTCCCTGGGGCATCCCCACGGTGTCCCCATGTCCCCAAGGTGTCCCCACATCCCTGAGGCATCCCCACAGTGTCCCCGTGTCCCCAGTGTGTCCCCACGGTGTCCCCATGTCCCCCAGGTGTCCCTATGTCCCTGATGTTTCACCGAGGTGTCCCCATGTCCCTGAGGTGTCCCCAAGGTGCCCCCATGTCCCCGGGGCATCCCCACATCCCTGAGGCATCCCCACGGTGTCCCCGCGTCCCCAGTGTGTCCCCAAGGTGTCCCCGAGGTGTCACCACAGTGTCCCCATGCCCCCCAGCTGTCCCTGTGTCCCCAAGATACCCCCACGCTCCCATAGCTGTCCCTGTGTCCCCAAGGCATCCCCATGTCCCCACGGTGTCCCCACGCCCCCCAGCTGTCCCCGTGTCCCCGAGGTGTCCCCAGGATGTCCCCACCTTGTCGTGCAGGGTCCAGCTGAGGTACTTGAGGTGGCCGTCGGTGAGGAAGGAGGCCGGGAAGCTGCACATCCACGTCCCCAGCTCCTCCATGCACAGCGCGCGCACGTCGGGCACCACGTCCCTGGGGGGGGGACAGCGCCTTGGGGACACCGCCACGGGGACAGCGCCACGGGGACAGCGCCACGGGGACACCCCGTCGGGGACACCACAACGGGGACACCGCCACGGGGACAGCGCCTTGGGGACACCGCCACGGGGACACCACGGCCCCGACACGCTCGGAGTCCCCAGGGCCACCCCAGGGACCCCCGTGTCCTGGTGACAACGTCCTGGTCCCGGTCCCCAACCTCTCCTGGTGATGTTCTCCGAGGAGAACCCAACTTGGTTCCGTCCCAGTTCCAAACTGGTCCCAGTTCCCAACCACAACTGGTGATGTTCTCCAAGGAGAACCCAACTTGGTTCCGTCCCAGTTCCAAACTGGTCCCAGTTCCAAACCCTTACTGGTGACGTTCTCTGAGGAGAACCCAACTTGGTTTCGTCCCAGTTCCAATCTGGTCCCAGGTCCCAACTGGTCCCAGTCCCCAACCCCTCCTGGTGACGTTCTCCAAGGAGAACCCAACTTGGTTCCATCCCAGTTCCAGACTGGTCCCAGGTCCCAACCACAACTGGTGACGTTCTCCAAGGAAAACTCAACTTAGTTTCATTCCCAGATGCAAACTGGTCCCAGTTCCCAACTGGGCTGTCCCCAGTGCCACCACAGTGACAACCCCTCCTGGTGACAACCTTCTCCAAGGAGAACCCAACTTGGTTGCGTCCCAGTTCCAAACTGGTCCCAGTCCCCAACTGGGCTCTCCCCACTGGCTCCAGTCCCTAACCACGCTGTTCCCAGTGCCACCCACTGCCACCCAGTGCCCCCAGCACCACCCCAGTGCTGCCCAGCACCATGCAGTGCCGCCCAGAGCCACCCCAGTGCCACCCAGTATCCTCCAGCATCACCCCAGTGCCCTCCAGCACCACCCCAGTGCCCCCTAGCACCATCCCAATGCCACCCAGTGCCCCCCAGCACCACCCCAATGCCACCCAGTGCCACCCAGTGGTACCCAGTTCCGCCCAGCACCACTCCAGCGCCCCCCCACCTGTATCGGTGCACGAAGACCCCCTTGAAGATGGCGTTCATCACGGCCTCGATCTCCTCCTGCTGCTCCTGGAGCTGGACGGCACCCACGGGCGTCACCGGGGCGCCCGTGCCCGTGTCCCCACCGCGTCCCCAAACGTCACCCACCTCCCGCAGCGTCTCCTGCAGCACCTCCAGCTTGCCGGGGGCTCTCCGGGGGGGGCTTTTCCCCCTTTCGGCCTCGTAGAGCCTCCGGGTGTTGTCGCGGCGCTGGCTCAGCCCCAGCGCCACCTCCACCAGCACCGTCATCAGCTTCATGGCTGGGGACAGCGGGACGGTGGCGGGGGGGCGTCGGGGACACCCGGCGGGTGACAAGTTGGGGGTGGGGGGTGTCACCTACCTGCCAAGGTGGCCGTGTGGCGGAAGGCGCGCACTTGGGAGTCGGCGAGGCTGGTGAGCAGCGCGGTGAGGCCGCCGAGGAGGAAGCCATCGTAGAGGACGGCGTGGCGGCTCCGCAGGGCCACCGCTGTCACCACGGCCCCAAAAGAGGCCCGAAAACGGCGCCACGGCCCCGTGGAGAGGGACAGGGGGTAGTCGGAGGAGTCCTGGGGGGGGACACGGGGGCAGAACGGGGACACGAAGGGATGAGGCGGTGGGGATGGACAGGGGGGAAATGGGGGCGGAAAGGGAGAAAATGGGGGCGGAAAGGGAGAAAATGGGGACACAAGGGGACAAAGTGGGGACACAAGGGGACAAAGCGGGGACACAAGGGGGCAACACAGGGGGATGTAAAGAGACAAAATAGGGAGAACGTAAAGGGACAAAATAGGGACGCAAATGGACAACATGGGGACACAAGGGGACAAAATGGGGGGATTGGTAGGGACGGACAAAATGGTGGGACACAAAGGGACAACATGGGGATGCAAAGGGACAAAATAGGGACACAGAGGGACAAAATAGGGACACAAAGGGACAAAATGGGGGATTGGAAGGGACAGAACAGGGACACAAAGGGACAACGTGGTGGGAACGTAAAGGGACAAAATGAGGGGGGCATAAAGGGACAAGATGGGGATTGGAAGGGACAAAATGGGGACACAAGGGGACAAAATGGGGAGATTGGAAGGGACAAAATGGGGGGGACATAAAGGGACAAAATGGGGCGGTGGAAAGGGGTGAAATTGGGAATGAAAAGGGACAAGGTGGTGGGGATGTAAAGGGACAAAATACCCATTTTGTCCCATGCAAAGGGGACAACGAAAAGGGGGACCATGGAAAGGGACAAAATGGGGGGGGACATAAAGGGACAAAATGGGGACACAAAGGGACAAAATGAGGAAAGGCAAAGGGATAAATGGGGTCACACAAAGGGACAAAATGGGGGGACGCAAAGGGACAGAACTGTGGGGACGACAAAATGGGGACGCAAGGGGACAAAATGGCGGCCTCACGCAGGTGACAAGATGGCTGCCTCACAGAGATGACAAACTGGAGGCAACGCAGAAAAATAACGTGTTGGGGACACAGGGACAAAGCGTTGGGTCACACAGGTGACAAAGTGGCAGGGATGCAGAGGGACAAAATAGCAAGGAAGTGAGGTGACAAGATGGCGGCGTCACACAGGTGACAAGATGGCCGCCTCACAGAAATAACAAAACAGCAGCAATACGAAAAATATAAAGCATCCAGGACACAAGGGACAAAATGCTGGGGTCACACAGGTGACAAAATGGAGGGGACGCAAAGAGAGGAAGTGGTGGGGATGCAAGGAGACAAGATGGCGGCGTCACAGCGGTGACAAGATGGCCGCCTCACAGAGGAGACAAGATGGCCGCCTCACAGAGGAGACAAGATGGCGGCATCCCCACACCACCACACATCCCCCAGTACCTCGCTGAAGGTCTCGGTCAGCCGCTGGATGATCTCGGTGTTCTGCTGCTCCCGCAGCATGGCCAGCGTCACCGTGCCTGCCGGGAGGGGACACGGCGGGTGACGGGGACGTCCCCCGGGGGGGTGACAGGGGGACGGGGAGCGGGGCGGCCGCACCTCGGCAGCCGCAGGAGCGGACGATGAAGTTGACGAGCTCCAGGAAGGCCGGCTCCCGGTCCCGCTTGTAGCCCTGCAGCCACTCGTCCACCGCCACCTGCGGGCACAGTGACACGTGGTGACACGTGGTGACACGTGGTGACATGTGGTGGCACGTGGTGGCACGTGGTGACATGTGGTGGCCTGTGGTGACACGTGGTGGCCCCACATTTGAGCAAATGCCCCCCCCCCCCCCCCCCCCCCATGTCCCCTTCCCAAGGTGGACACGTCCCCGTGTCCCTTTGGGAGCTGGTTTTGCTCGCGTGTCCCTTTATCCCTGTGTGTCCCCGTGCCCCCCAACATGTCCCCATGTCCCCCCCTGTCCCCATGTCCCCCCCTGTCCCCGTGTAAAACCTCGATGGCCACCCTGCCGTCCATGACAGCCTGGTAGAGGACGTTCTCCTCCGAGCTGCTGCCGTCCTCGCTGGGCTCCCTCCGGGGATGTTTGGGGACCTGCGGAGGTGACACGGGGGTGACAAGGGAGGGCACGGCTTTGGGGACGGGGGGGGGACAAAGGGGACACGTACAGGGCGGAGGCGGGTGCTGGGCCCCCCCCGAGCCCCCCGCTTCTCCTGCAGGGTGGCCTCGAAGTCGCTGCCGGAGTCGTCGTCACTGCTGCTGGTGTCCCTGTGGGGACAGTGGGGACAGCAAGGGGGGGCTGTTGTCACCTCCCCCCCCCCAAAACAAAACAAAACAAAACAAAAACTCAAGGACAATCCCTCCCAGTATGCCCAATAACCCCCCCCAGTGCCCCCCAGTATGCCCAGTGCCCCCCCCATCCCATCCCAGTGCCCTCCCACTACCTCCCAGTTCCCCCCATTGACCCCCCCAGCCCATTGTCCCCCTGTCCCCCTGTCCCCATCCCAGTGTCCCCATTACCAATGTCTTTGTCCCCAATATCCCCATCCTGCTGTCCCCATCCCATTGTCCCCCTGTCCCCGTGTCCCCATCCCAATGTCCTTCTCCTGATGTCCTTGTCCCGTGTCCCCACCCCAGTGTCCCCATCCCAGTGTCCCCATCCCGATGTCCTTGTCCTGATGTCCCTGTCCCCATGTCCCCATCCTGCTGTCCCCATCCCAGTGTCCTTGTCCCTGTGTCCCCATCCCGATGCCACCATCCTGCTGTCCCAATTCTGATGTCCTTGTCCCCGTGTCCCCACCCCAATGTCCCCATCCCACTGTCCTTGTCCCCCTGTCCCCATGTCCCTGTGTCCCCATCCCGATGTCCCCATCCCATTGTCCTTGTCCTGATCTCCTTGTCCCCAATATCCCCATCCCTCTGTCCCCGTCCCATTGTCCCCCTGTCCCCATGTCCCCGTATCCCCACCCCAATGTCCTTGTCCTGATGTCCTTGTCCCAATGTCCCCATCCCAGTGTCCCCATTACCAATGTCCTTGTCCCACTGTCCCCATCCCAATGTGCCCACCCCAATGTCCTTGTCCCCATGTCCCCATCCCAGTGTCCCCATCCTGTCATCCCGATGTCCTTGTCCCAATGTCCCCATCCCGATGTCCCCATCCTGATGTCTCCATCCCAATGCCACCACCCCGATGTCATCCCAATGTCCCCATCCCACTCTCCCCACCCTGATGTCCCCATCCCTGTGTCCTTGTCCCAGTGTCCCCATCCCAACGTCCTCATCCCAATGTCCTTGTCCCGATGTCCCCACCCCTATGTCCCCGTGCCAATGTCCTTGTCCCAGTGTCCCCATCCTAATCTCATATCGATGTCCTTGTCCCCATGTCCCCATCCCATTGTCCCCGTGTCCCCATGCCCCCATCCTGCTGTCCCCATTGTCCCCCTGTCCCCGTCCCCCCCCTCAGAGCCGCAGGACGTAGGAGTCGCTGTGTGTCAGGTGCCGCACCCAGCACTGGGGGGGTCCGGGGGGGGCGCGGGGGGGGCACTGGGAGAGGCTGGGGGGGCACTGGGAGAGACTGGGGGGGACTGGGACAGTCGGGGGGGGGCACTGGGAGGGGCGGGAGGGGCAGTGGGAGAGACTGGGGGGCGCTGGGGGGAGCTGGGAGGGCGTGGGGGGTCACTGGGAGAGGCTGGGGGGGCACTGGGAGATATAGGGGGACACTGGGAGGTGCTGGAGGGACACTGGGAGGTGCTGGGAGAGACCGGGAAGCACTGGGAGAGCACTGGAAGGTGCTGCAGGACTCTGGGAGAGACTGGGGGAACTGGGAGAGACTGGGAGGGAACTGGGAGAGACTGGGGGGAACTGGGAGTATTGGGAAAGCTTTGGAGGGGCACTGGGAGGCACTGGGGGAGACTGGAGGGGCACTGGGAGCACTGGGAAGGCTTTGGAGGGGCACTGGGAGCACCGCCCCTGGGCCATAGGGGGCTATAGGGACCCCAGGCCATAGGGGCCATAGGGACCCAGCTATAGGGCCCTATAGGGACCCACGCCATAGGGCTCTATAGAGCCCTATAGGGACCTATAGAGCCATAGAGGGCCATAGGGACCTATAGGGCTTTAGGGACCTATAGGGACCTATAGGGTCCTATAGGGACCCTGGGACATAGAGGGCCATAGGAAGACGCCTATAGGGTCCTATAGGAACCCCAGGCCATAGGGCCCTATAGAGCCCTACAGGGAACCTGGGCCAATAGGGGGCTATAGGGGCCCACCTATAGGATCCTATAGGGACCGCAGACCACAGGGTGCTGCTATAGGGACTTGGTTATAGAGCGTTATAGGGAACTGGCTATAGGGCAATATAGGGACCCCAGGCCACAGGGGCCCTCCTCTGGGCCCCGCAGGCCCCGCCCCCCGTCCCCAGGCCCCGCCCCCTGTTTGTGAGCGTGCGCGCTGCGGGCCGGGCGCAGGTGCGGGCAGGGGAGAGGTGAGGCGGCGCGAGGCGAGGCAGGCGGGGGGGGGGAGAGCCCCCTTCACGTGACCCCAGGGGGGGCTTGGGACCCCCCCACATTACCCTGAAGGGTTTTGGGGCCTTGGGACCCCCCCCAGTGTGACCCCGGGGGGCCTTGAGGGGCCTTGAGGGGCCTTGAGGGGCCTTGGGACCGTCCCACACTGCTCGGGGGGGGGGGGTTGGGGGCCTTGGGCCCCCCCCCAAATGGCCCCGGGGGGGTTGGGGGCTTTGGGTCCCCCCCCGAGTGACCTTGAGGGGCTTTGGGACACCCCCCAATGTGACTCTGGGGGGCTTTGGGTCCCCCCCGTGTAACCTCAGGGGGTGTTTGGGGTCTCCCCCCAAACGACTCATGGGGGGTGTTTGCCCCCCCCACATCCCCATTCTGCAGGACCTGGGGGGGGCCCTCTCCAAATGGGGGGGCTTCCAACACCCCCCAACCTGTGTCCCCCCCCCCACCGCAGATTTCACCATGTCCTCAAAGCGACCAGCTGGTCCCCAGGACCCGCCCCCCAGCTCCCCCCCCAGCACGTGAGTTGTGTTTTTTTTTTTGTTTTTTTTTTTTGGGGGGGGGAGGTGACAACAGCCCCCCCCCTCGCTGTCCCCACTGTCCCCACAGGGACACCAGCAGCAGTGACAACGACTCCAGCAGCGACTTCGAGGCCACCCTGCAGGAGAAGCGGGGGGCTCAGGGGGGGCCCGGCCCCCGCCCTGTACGTGTCCCCTTTGTCCCCGTCCCCGTCCCCAAAGCCGTGCCCTCCCTTGTCACCCCCGTGTCACCTCCGCAGGTCCCCAAACGTCCCCGGAGGGAGCCCAGCAAGGATGGCAGCAGCTCGGAGGAGAACGTCCTCTACCAGGCCGTCATGGACGGCAGGGTGGCCATCGAGGTTTTACACGGGGACAGGGGGGGACATGGGGACAGGGGGGGACATGGGGACATGTTGGGGGGCACAGGGACACACAGGGATAAAGGGACACGCGAGCAAAACCAGCTCCCAAAGGGACACGGGGACGTGTCCACCTTGGGAAGGGGACATGGGGGGGGGGGGGCATTTGCTCAAATGTGGGGCCACCACGTGCCACCACGTGCCACCACATGTCACCACGTGCCACCACGTGCCACCACATGTCACCACGTGTCACCACGTGTCACCACGTGTCACTGTGCCCGCAGGTGGCGGTGGACGAGTGGCTGCAGGGCTACAAGCGGGACCGGGAGCCGGCCTTCCTGGAGCTCGTCAACTTCATCGTCCGCTCCTGCGGCTGCCGAGGTGCGGCCGCCCCACTCCCCGTCCCCCTGTCACCCCCCTGGGGGACGTCCCCGTCACCCGCCGTGTCCCCTCCCGGCAGGCACGGTGACGCTGGCCATGCTGCGGGAGCAGCAGAACACCGAGATCATCCAGCGGCTGACCGAGACCTTCAGCGAGGTACTGGGGGATGTGTGATGGTGTGGGGATGCCGCCATCTTGTCTCCTCTGTGAGGCGGCCATCTTGTCTCCTCTGTGAGGCGGCCATCTTGTCTCCTCTGTGAGGCGGCCATCTTGTCACCAGTGTGATGCCGCCATCTTGTCCCCTTGCGTCCCTGCCACTTCATCCCTTTGCGTCCCCTCCATTTTGTCCCTTTTGTGACTGCAGCATTTTGTCCCTTGTGTCCCTGATACTTTAGTTTTATGCGCTGTTACCGTTTTCTCACCTCTGTGAGGCAGCCATCTTGTCACTGCTTTGACGCCGCCATCTTGTCCCTTTGCATCCCCACCACTTTGTCCCTTTGCGTCCCCACATTTTGTCCCTTTGCGTCCCCAAATTCATCACCCCTTTCTGCCACCCATTCTTTCCCTTTGTGTCCCCATTTTGTCCCTTTTTGTCCCCACATTTTGTCCTTTTACGTCCCCATTTTGTCCCTTTATGTCCCCCCCATTTTGTCCCTTTCCATTCCCAATTTCACCCCTTTCTGCCACCCATTTTTTCCCTTTGTGTCCCCATTTTCCCCCTTTGCATCCCCACCACTTTGTCCCTTTACGTCCCCCTCATTTTGTCTCTTCCCACCCCCATTTTCTCCCTTTCCGCCCCCATTTCCCCCCTGTCCATCCCCGCCGCCTCATCCCTTCGTGTCCCCGTTCTGCCCCCGTGTCCCCCCCCAGGACTCCTCCGACTACCCCCTGTCCCTCTCCACGGGGCCGTGGCGCCGTTTTCGGGCCTCTTTTGGGGCCGTGGTGACAGCGGTGGCCCTGCGGAGCCGCCACGCCGTCCTCTACGATGGCTTCCTCCTCGGCGGCCTCACCGCGCTGCTCACCAGCCTCGCCGACTCCCAAGTGCGCGCCTTCCGCCACACGGCCACCTTGGCAGGTAGGTGACACCCCCCACCCCCAACTTGTCACCCGCCGGGTGTCCCCGACGCCCCCCCGCCACCGTCCCGCTGTCCCCAGCCATGAAGCTGATGACGGTGCTGGTGGAGGTGGCGCTGGGGCTGAGCCAGCGCCGCGACAACACCCGGAGGCTCTACGAGGCCGAAAGGGGGAAAAGCCCCCCCCGGAGAGCCCCCGGCAAGCTGGAGGTGCTGCAGGAGACGCTGCGGGAGGTG